TAGGAAATTGGCCCAATTGAGCTGAATTTTGCTTTAGATGGACGCCTACGCCATCTACATTTGGGGGATTTAGGGGAAAGGAGTTGGTCAAGATGAGCATTTTTTCTTGCAATCTTGCTCCCTATCCCGACTTAACAAGCACCCCTCCAATAGGGGGCGCCCTGTAGCGCCCCTATTTTCATCCCCGTCCCCAAGCCAGGACAAGGGGTTTTATCATTTTTCTTGTAGTATGTATTTTATATTTAGTCCATGTGTTGGTCATGGTACTAATCAGATAAAAATATGAAACTTTAAAATGAAGAAATTTGAAATTAAAAATTATATGCCACAATTCATATCGTTTAAATAATGTGACAAATCATTATTCATGTGCTCCATCAAATATCATTTGTATTCTTGTCTTTGGCTCACATCATAGTTATGCATTATCAATGTTTGAATGTAGATTTTTGCCTCCTTGGATCATAATTGAGGATCAAAACAATCTTTTGATCAAGTTATGGGTAATGAAATTGGTTTGTTGATGTTTGAAAGTCATTATTATTTTGCCAACCAAGTTTAGTTTATTCATTTAGGATCCACTTTTGCTTGCCGATAACAGTTTTTCTACAAATAATTGAGACAAACACACGTTTAATTATTGCCCATTTAAATAAATATCGTATAACTGAAACAATCTTGCTACAATGACAAATTCAATGACAGAAGAAAAACGTGTCAATACATAATTGAACAATTTGACCCAAAAAAAAATCCAATCAAAGTTTGCCACACCACCCTGTCATTGTCCCTCTCCAAGGAACATTATTCTAACTAAAAACAATTATAAATATTGCTTTGATCTAATCATATATGTATGTGAACGAAAGTATTTTGGACAACATCTTATGATCTTTGACTACATTTTGGTTTGCACTTTTTTTTCTTTAAGTCAAATTTTATACATTAATTTCACTTGAAAGTACGCAGCCTTATACTTTATAGTTTTTGCTTTCTGAATTAAATCGAGACCCTATTTCTCTTTTGACTTTTGTCTTTTGACACCCAAATAATCGGCCGTTGGAATCCTCAACCGGTCACCTTTGGCAGCTCTCTCTCTACCCACCCCAACACCCACCTCAAAATCTATAAAGATTAAAGTGTCACTTGAATTCTTACCATTCATTAATTTCTTCGGATATTTGTATTGTAAAATCATCCACAACCTCAATGGAGAAAATACACGAAACTCATTCTAACACAATTCAAACACCGGACCGACTTAAGGTCCCCAGGGCATTCAAATACTCGGAAAAGTACTCGAATTTATCTTTCCTTTTTCACATTTTCACACAATTTTTACGCGTGTTAATTGCGTCGTGTTGACAAGTACACTAGTTCAACTTAGGGCTGTAAGTAAAAATCGAAAAATCGAACTGAAACCTTATTTTAGAAATCGTCGGTTTGGTATCACGTGGACCTGGTCAACGAAATGGTTTTGACCCAAACCAAACCGGTCAAAATGGTTTGGTTTAGGTTTGAAAATTTTAATTGCTGTTTAAAATCAAATCGGACCGGCGAAAAAATATATAAAAATGAAAAAATGAAATTTTTTGAAAATTCATCCAAATATGTAAAATTCAATAGTTTTGTCATTTGTGGATATTTTTGTCAATTTCTAATTTTCTAATACAGATATATTATTATTATTATTATTATTATCCAATAATCCTAATATATATCTAATAATTTCAAGACTAACATAATCTATCAAAAATCTTTTTCCTCTTCAGAATTTAGATTAACTCCAGTCGACTCTCAACACAGTTTTGAGTCATCGGCACCACACACTTCTTTTTCAGATTTTTTACGCCTTTTCAAAGTTAAATTGAAGTCTATTATACCAAATCGGAGACAAAGAGATTCTAGACCTTCAACGATAATATTTGTTACGAATAAAGTTTCAGGTCAATAATTTTTTTTGAGCAAATTAACGTAAGAATTTGAAATTAAATGCGTTTCGTAACATCATATAAACGTAAACTTATGTAATTGTTATATTTAGATATTATAAACAATTGATTTATTATTATGGTTGGTTATTCTCTTTATTTAATTAGTATCTCTTTTTCAGATATGATGATCACGAGATCTTGTTGGACATAATTATGTTTTTTGGGCCTTATATATAGTTTAGTAGACTTTTATGTAACGTTATTGTATCGTCATTAGCCTAAAAAGGTGAAAAAATGAAAAAAAAAAACTATGTTTTATTTTATTGTGATTTCACTTTGATTTAGTTGGTATTTAAATTTATAGTAGATAGATTTAACTCATGTTTGAGCCATATTTTTCATATCATCATAATAAGAAAATTGACTGTTGGAGAGGAGGTTGGGTCCCACACATGAAACACGAGGTCAACAAAGGCGGCTGGACTTATGGGATAACGGTTCAAATTTTCATTTTTTTATCCCAAAAATTTGGTTCAAACAGGGGTTTAGTTTGTTTTAGATTTATTACTAGTAAGATATAAATATATTTATATATTGAATTCAATGAATTAATGACATAAAAGTAGACGGACAAAAAAATATATGACGAAACCGACGGTTTAAAATCGAACCAAACCGTTAGGTTTAGGTTTGAGTTTTTTTCAAACCATTCAAAATGGTTTGATTTAGGTTTGAGTTTTTCTCAAACCATTTTAAATGGTTTGGTTTGAAAATCTATCAAAAACCGATAAAATTGGACCGCTTACACCCGTAGTTCAACTCATAGATTGATGTCCCCTGTTACAAGAGTACTTCTTGCTAGGAGGAGGAAGGGTAGCAAGATTTTACCGCCCTCCACAAATCAACCTAGGGTATAATATCGAGATTGTTATTGAAAATTGAATTTGATTTTTTTTCCCTCTTATAATGTTTGGATGACAATATTTTTGTTTTGGGTTCCTACAGATTCAAGCTCTAAAGCTTCGGAAGTTGGGTTCAATTTAAAGTTGAATTGTTGAGCCAATGATTCTTTTTGTTAGTTTGTTGTTGTTCCGCTTGTATGGTCAACAAGAAACGTCCAATTTCAATTCCTCTAGTGCATATTTGATACGAGCAACATAGTACAATGAACAATAATTTAACTTATTTTCACGTATCCTTACATTGAATGCGTAGATTTGTTTATTCCTAATGGATTTGGTGCCATTGAAATGAACTGTCATCCTCCTCAATTTAATATTTGTAGACATGGCTAGATATTTTTCAGTATCATCAATGCTCTCATATCTTGCAGGATAAGGCGATCGGGAATTTTTGAAATGTTTTCGCCTTTAAAATAAAATATGTAATAAAAATTAACTGACTTAAATTTTAATTAACCCTTTTTTTTTATGGGGGTGAAATCAAAGAAGGGCTAAATTTCACAACATGGGGAGTATTTTTCATGTTAGAATGTTTTTGGCAATATCTAGTCCCTCTATTTCATTAGATATTCAATTTGCCCCACAAAAACTAAATTAAAAACTTTTGCATTTTGGTACAAAGAACAAAGAGAAAATACAATCTAGTTCCTTTTCCATAACAACTAACCTTCCCGCGTATCTGCATAAAAATGGTACAGATGAATGTAAAATCAAAGCCAATCTGAATGACAGAAAAGGGCCGATTGTGCCTCCATTTTAGTCGTAAACATTCTCCCAGAATAAACCCTATTTCGATCTCTCGGTGCCCTGAATTAGTGAAGAATTACAAACAATTTATTCATTTGTATTCCGTGGTTTCTAATCTCGGTGTTGTTTGATAGTCCTCCATTTTTGGTTTGTAGGCAGAGGCGAACAACAGATAATCGTTAAATTTTCAGAATTTAGGTATGTCAAATTATTTTTTCACTCAAATGCAATGATCTTTTTTAAGTTATCATCCATTTTAGATAGACAAATTAAATCCCAGTTTTTGGATATTAAAATTGACCAAACGATCTCCAATGCAAAAATTTTAGGGCAAATAGCCTACTGATAAATCAAGATTATAGGTGAAAATGGTTTAAATTGCACGCATTTCGTTATTTCCCATTAAGCATTATTCAGCTTTTAATCCAAATATATTTGAGCCCTAATACTTGAGACAGAACCATTCAACTGTATTTTTGTTTCATTGTTCCCATTTCTTATCATATATACTCAACAAGTCTTAGAAAAGGTATGATGTCAATTGTCTATTGCCTGAACTCATGACGATGTTTTAATTGCAAGAGGTAATAATAGGCCGGTTAATATTCCCTTCAATTTTGGGAACGGTCACTTTTATTCTCTGGTTAATAGTTAAGATGGATTGCATATGTAAATTAGTTGCATTTCTTCCTCCTTTCACTATATTTTAAATTTCTCTCCTGTTTCGTCCTGAGCCTTTTAGTGATCGTTAGAGGACAATATAACCAATAAATAGATGTACATAGGTTTAGTAGGTGTACAACTAATTAATGCAAGCATCTTTCAGCAATTTACAAATTAGAGTTTCTTTCCTTTCATGTACTGAATATGAAATTACATGGGATGGGAAATTGGCAGTTTTAAATGAGTATTAGAATCCTGACGCCATCTTTTATGTCCTATGCAAGCTTTCAACTGGTATATGTTCAAATAACTGATGACGTCGTATTCAACTTGTTAATTTTGTACTTTTTGCTTCATTTTGAAGTATTAACTATCCATCACGTGCGATGTCATAAATCTCCAGGGGCCTGACTAGTCCCATGAACTATGGAATCTGAATATGTGAGTGGAAGCAATGAGCTTGTTAAGAAAAACTCTGAGGTTAAGCATGAAGATGGAATACAACTTTTGGAAGCAAAGACTTCAGGCTTTTCTTCTGTATCTTCTTCTTCTTCTTTAAGCAATGAGCATTTGAAGAAAAACTCTGAGGTCAAGCATGAAGATGGAAAACAACTTTTGGAAGCAAAGGCTTCAGGCTTTTCTTCTGTATCTTCTTCTTCTTCTGTTTCTTCACTGGAATTAAATACTGGTGAAAGAGTTCATTTTGACGATCCCTCTCTCAAATCAGGACAAGATGGACCTCTGTCATTCGAATCAGAATTCTTGTCGTCACTGGATGTTACAGATCAGATACCTAACTGGAGCATGATAAGTGCCTCTCCACATGCCGAAGCTGGGTTTCTATCATCACCAGGAACATCATATCAGTCTCCAGAATGGAACACTGATAATAAATTCCAAATGCAATCTCCTCCAGTCCAAACAATGGGGCAGCCTGCAGGTTATGACCCAAATCGTATTCCTTCATCTATTTTTTCTCCTAAACCTACATCAGCTATGGAATGGAGTGTTACTTCAAATGAATCATTGTTTAGTATTGGGAGTAACAGCTACTCTAGAGATCAAGCAAATCTTCTGGGCAAATCTGGAGAACTCCCCAGGAGAGAAGAGTCAAACAATTCACCATTGAATCTTCAATATGTTCCCGATGCCAAATCTGATGACTTCAACAGCTTCCCTTCTGTCCTTCCCCCAGTTCTTGGAGTACCACAACATGAAGAAAATAGTGTAAAATTGGGGAAGAGTTCTAGTGTCATAGAAGAAGATTGCAGTAATAGCCTGGAGATGGCCCCAGTTACAACTGTAGAGAATCATGCAAAGGAAAATATAGCTCCTGTTAAGGAAATTCCTCCTCCTGATATTTCCTCTAATGCAGTAGACGGTAAAGGTATTGCTGCTGAGGCTACTCGTACCTCATCAGGTGCCCCTCTCACTTCACCAAGTCTCCCTCGCCTTTCTGATGAGAGTGGAAACAGCTGCCATTCTTTTGCATTCCCAGTGTAAGATCATTTTCTAGAGTTTCAAATCTTAGAAACATGTCTATACGTATATCTAGTAAATTGATTGGAAAAATGTAGTGCAGATTGCCTTGCCCGTGCTCTCATTTACGAACTTCATTACATATCTGCCTTAGAAACATACAAAACACAATTCGTGCAGAAATGAGGCACTTCACATCTAAATTCATTGAATGAAATTGGCCAAATTCCAAGCGGAAAGGAATTTTGTGGTATCCCTAGTGAATTAGCTTTAGGATCTAATATGGTTTTTAACTGTAGTCTCTAAAGGGAAATTGACCTGCTGCCCTTGTTTTAGATTCTATTGGGTTAAACCCAATCTTTACTCTTATGATGAGAGCTGTAAGTTCGAGCTGTTATACACACACACATATACAATGCTTCGTCTGTCTTGGAACTCTTAAATGAGTGTATGTGGCTCATAATTTACGAAGGAAGCATGTAAATGAAAAAATTTCTCTCTAGTCTTATCTGTTTGTGATACCCACAACATCTCTTTTCATCGTGTTTTTCTTATGCCTATACGGGTGAACTTGATAATACTTTATTTGTTTTTGTCTTCTGACCTTTTTACCTCCTTCAAGTATGTTATTTCTTCTGAATATCAAAATGAGATCTCTTTCTGTATTAAGCTTGCAAAATTACTGTTGAATCAATTTATAACTCCATATATTTTGGCTCAGATTGGTAAACATTGGTGAAAAAACTGACTCATGTAAGGTGATTAATGAGAAACCGCAGTTGGAGTCGCAACTTCCTGAGGCAAATCCTAAAGCTTCTGAGACAAGATGGTTTTCGTCCTCCTCCTGTTGGCCATGCTGTTGTTAAACGATATTACTTACCGATCAAAAATCTTTGGTTGCTTGTATCCTTGCTTATTTGTTTGTTGACCTAATAGCTCACCAGACGGGATTTTTGCTTGGAAGGATCAGTTCATTGTTCATATATCTCGGTTCTTGTACAAAAAGAGATTGAATGCTGAAGTGTACAGTTCTGTCTATTTGTTTCTTATCCCTAAAGAATTTTTCCTTTCGCGTGAATGCTTCACGAGGAGCAGTCAATCTCAGATGTTCTAACAATGCGGCAAAATTTTTATCACATTCCCGGAATAGAAACTTCCGCACGCAATATTCTATCTTGTAGGAGGAAGACATGACGTATTCGAATTTCTCGTTAGTTATGTGAATATAAGATTACTTAATTGTTATTTGTGTCCATTTTTGCGTATGGGATAATGATTCATTGACCACTTGTGTTGCTTGAAACTGATCCATAAACTTTTGTTTGATCTACACTTGAATTGACACGTCCCGTCCCGAATCATCATAGTGGACCCGAAACGTGACGTGCGTCGATAATAAATACTAACTAGATGTCAAATCTATCACCAATGCTGACTATGAGTTACTTCAAAAAATGCATCAAAATCAAATGCTTATGTAAAACATAATGCAATGGGCCCAAATTATTTATTTCGTACTTTATCAATATGAGTTATAACACTCAATATGTAGTGTAGCTCTCATTCCGAAATCATTAGACTCTCCAGCTAAAAGGAATCAATTGCTATCTGTAGAAAAAATCGTGGAAAAATATATGAGTCAACAACTTAGTGAATGGAGAAGTTCGAAATAAATTATACTTTTTCAATTTTACATTTTTATCGAAAATTGAGTTCATATCATTGAATAATTCGCAAGATACCAATATATAATTATACTCAAAACGTGAGACATTCACATAACATCACAAAATATCGTCTCAAAGTCAAACTATAAACATCAGCTGATAACCATACTATAAGCTCATCATATCAAATATACTGAAAAATCCACCAAAAATGTACCCTCTAACTGAAATCTGTAATTTGCCCTACGGGTTAAGAACTTTCGCCACGGGCCTTTGGCCCCCTTCGTGAACGAAAGTCGGTCTCAAGACCTCTGATAATTAATTCTAGAATATGGCCAAAGCTTTTCTGTGAACTATATGTACACGCTTAAGACTAATGTCCGGTCAAGACACCTCCGTGTAAGATAGAACACAACCAAAACCCCTCTATGAACTAAAATAAATATATAATCACGGGCACTTTTCTGGTTGATCTCAACATCACATGTCTCGCATATCAAGTCATAAATGTACCACAAGAAATCTTTAAAATTCCACATGAATCATAATGAAAGAGATTTCTATAGTAATCATAAAATTGAACACATAATTACACATACTTTAATAATATACTTAATTTATAAATACTTTAAAAATATTTATATTTTTCCACTCACAGAACTATGTACGCCAAAATAACCCGATTGGTAAGCTGTCACGATATCCGCATCGTCGCCTGAAATATGATATAATTTTTAAATCAACAATTAGTTATTTCAAGTAATTTCAATAATTAAATAAGCGATACTCAAACTTAATCATTTCACGTTTAAGTGATTTTTAAAATCTCTTTAATCATTAAAACTAATTTTTCTTTCACTTTACTCAATGTCATAGTTTATTATACTTTACATTTTCAATAAAATTAAATTTGATCTAACAAACTAACAACTATAAAATTAAACATAATTTGACAATAAGTAACTTTTTACTTACCTTTTAAAATTGAGGAATTCAAGCGTAATAATATAGACCACTTATTTTCTAACAACTTGGCAAAAATTTTCTAATTTTTTTTCTTTCTTCCTCTTCTTCTTCATTTTTTCTTTCTTTTCCCTCTCCCTCTTTTTTCTTTCTTTTCTCTCTCTGCTCTCGTTTTCTTGGTGTGTTTTATGTATTTGAATGGATTTGGATTTGCTTGAGTTTGGTATGTATGTTAATTTAACCATCTAACTTTTTGTATTTTTTTTAATATATAATAGTATGACATATTTGACTTTTCATTTTTTTTTTCTTTTTACTAAATTAAGGTATTACAAAACTTACCTCCTTAAAAGAATTTAATCTTCGAAATTCAATTGACTAAGTTCGCACATGTAATGTAAATAGAGAACACATTTAAACCTCACTTGCTATAACGCCTCATCTATTGAATGATTACTCCAACAAACTTTTAGTCCTAAAATTTAATCTTTCCTATCATACATTTAATAACTTCCTAAGAGCCAATATATAATATTCTCGTCTTTTTCTTTTCCAAACCCTTAAGGAAAACTCAATTATTTTCCAATTTAAAGTTCAAAAGACTACTTTTCATGTTCTCCAAATCTTCAACCTATACCATAATTTAAACTATTCTCTAATCAAGTTCCTTTTTTTTTTTTTTTTAAACAATGGTTACATATTAGATCGAATAAGTTTCTTTTGGCAACTTCATCACAATAAATGCCCTTGAAATAATTCCAATATCATAAGTAACATCAATTTTCTGAAATTCTAATTATCCCCAACAAAGCAATTGAGATAGTTCAATATGGTGTTTTTTTTTTTTTTTAATATCACCCAATGATATATACACAACTTCAATTTTCACCATTTCGAATAAAAATATACCTTCAACTCCGATGATAGTAAGTATCGATGTTTCTTGCAATGCGATGACACCACATTTCCTAATTTCAACCTCAATATAAACAATTATAAATCATGTTTTAATCATGCTCTTCAACAATCTACAGTACCATCCATAATTTATAAGTTTACTTCAGAATACTTTCTAAACCTTAACATAAATCATTATCGTGAATCAATCACTTATCATCTTTAGATATAAGAGCAAATATTTCATCAGAGTTTCCTGATAGTAAAACTTTTGACATTTCTATACTTGTATAAATTTTGTTCTTTCTTTCTATGAAGAGAAAATAATAACATTTAATCATGAAAATCTATAATCTTATCCCATAAATGAGTCGTTGATCTATCATCACTGCATAATCCTTCTTGTATATCGCATAAAGACCTTTTAATTAAGATTATAACCCAAAGATATTGTTCCACAATTGAATTAAATTTACATTCAATGATCACCCTAAACTTCAAACTTTTCGACATATCATCCGTATATTTCATAATGAATAGATCTCAATAAAAATGAAATGCTTTATACGTGAAATCCAAAAATACAATTGAAAATTACCCAAAAATTACATAACTAAAAATTTATTAAATTCATCTTAACTTCAAAATTTAACTCAACGATTTCAAATAGTATGGAATATAACACAATAATCCAACGAATGGCCTTACCAGAATTAATTAACTTAATAACCCAGATTTAGCATCACATTATTTTGCTATAGGACAACCATTATATTCATTTACATGCTATTGACCATATCATATTATGATCATGTAACATTGATATTTATCGTCATATCGTATGACCTAAAACATTTAATTATATCAATTTTCTTTAATATCACAAAATAATAACCTTCCACACATCAATGCACCACCAAGATTGCACATGTTAATTTTCCAATCTCAATAAATTCCAACTTTACCATTCTCTACTCCTTTTTATTTTTCGATTCACATAAACATACCTGAATGCACATATCCATTTAATTATATTTCTTGATCAACAAATAACCCCATAATCAATAATCATTATGAAGTTCATCCATATTATTCTCACATTCCTTATAATCAAATAACTCATAAATAATCGAAATAATTGGAATTACCGTTAATTTCCTAGATACATAAAATACACAATAACACATTGTTATCTACCAAGCAACAAATCATCATTTTGTCTTCCACGATTTCTTATCATACAACATAAATATACACCATTATGATTTATATTATCATCCCATATAAGTGGCCATAAAATCACCAAAAAATTTTGATAACACTAATGACCATTTGGCTTAATATATAATTAAAACTCATCACTGATTGTCACTAATCATACATCATATCATTTCCTTGTATTTATCGTGCAAGTTATAACTAAAAATATTCCTATGTACACATAAAAAAAATCATATAGTTCTACATATAAATTGACAATTAAGTGATTGTAACATCTGTAATTTCGAATGGCCCACAAAATAATCACAATCTGTTCAAATCTTAATAGGTTATATACGCACTAGTTCCAAGCCAACAACTAATAACATTTCCAACCATCAGATCATTGCAACTATCATACTTATATATTAGTCGTTTCTAAATCTGTTAAAAAAATATTTTTATATCATTTTTACATTTGAGTTAGAGAGCTTGTGATTTCTATCACCACGACATGTGATCAAACCACTGAATATGTATGATATACTAATGCATGAACCATAAAAAATTTCAAAGCTATGCTCTGATACCATTTTGACACGACTCGTCCCGAATCACCATAGTGGACCCGAAACGTGACGTGTGCCGATGATAGATGCTGACTAAATGTCAAATCTATCACCAAGACTTACTATGAGTTGCTTTAAAAAATGCCTTAAAATCAAATGCTTATGTAAAACATAATGCAATGGGCCCAAATTATTTATTTCGTGCTTCATCAATATGAGTTATAACACTCAACATGTCGTGTGACTCTCATTCCGAAATCATTAGGTTCTATAGCTAAAAGGAATCAATTGTTATCTGTAGAAAAAATCGTGGAAAAATATATGAATCGACAGCTCAGTGAGTGGAGAAGTTTGAAATAAATTATACTTTTTTAATTTTACATTTTTATCGAAAATTGAGTTCATATCATTGAATAATTCGCAAGATACCAATATATAATTATAGCCAAAACGTGTGACATTCACATAACATCACAAAATATCATCTCAAAGTCAAACTATAAACATTAGCTGATAACTATACTATAATCTCATCATATCAAATATACTGAAAAATTCACAAAAAATGTACTCTCTGAGTGAAATTTGTAATCCGCCCTACGGGCTAAGAACTTTCGTTACGGGCCTTTGGCCCCCTCCGTGAATAAAAGTCGGTCACAAGACCTCTGATAATTAATTCTAGAACATGGTCAAAGCCTCTCTGTGACCTATATGTACACGCTTAAGACTAATATTTGGTCAAGACACCTCCGTGTAAGATAGAACACGGCCAAGGC